GGGAATAGAAGTGATTTGATCACAATTACTGGACAAGTTAAAAGCAGAACTAGGATCGGAGAGATGAAGCGGCCTCTTGTAGGTGCCCAGGGGTTCGGATGTAGGAGTTCACACAGCACTTCCAACACATGACAGGTATTGTTTCTTGCGTCCTTCTTAACTGGGTGGAGTGCTCTCGCTCACCAAGCAGGTTCTGTCCGTGTGCATTTCATTTAAGGGGACCGTCCTCACTTTGGTGCAGTCTCGCCCATAACCTTGACCAGGGCCCTAGGCCCAAAGTTGGCCGCAGTACTCATATTAAGCCTCCCCTACGATGATAATCAGTTGGGTCCCTATCAAGAAAAGAACCATGGCAGAGAGAAGCTATTGTAGATACCAGGACATTTGTTTCCTGACACTTTCATGTCAGAGGGAGAAAAAAAAAATATATATATATATATATATATATATTTCACATCTGAGGAAAATATCTTCATTGTAGAGAAAGGAAAATATTTTTTAAAAAAGAATTTAAACCTCTGTCACATCACTATCACTTTCAACCATTAATCTCTGAGCATATTTCTTCCCAGGCTCCTTTCAGTAAGAGACAGGCCAGCTGGTCAGTGGATTGCTCGCCTCCACAGTGTAAGCTCCTTCCTTCTTGTGCCGCCTAGGGCCGCATCTAACTCCAGGGGAGAATGGAAAATGTACTCTAGCTATGTGCTCAGAAGAGGGAAGAAACAAATTTTGGCGAGCAGTTAGCAGTCTCTGCCTCACTTAGTAAACATCAGTCCTTTTAAAGCATATTAGCCATTAAATTGCTCAGAAATACCATGACGTCTGGTTGCATTTTTTAAGGCATCGTTGGCTTTGGTGTTAAGATGTTTGCCAGCAGTCACATTTCAGAAGCATGACTTTAGTAAAGTCAGCCCACCATGTTTAAATCTCCTAATGATTCTCTGTTGCCTAAAACAGTCCTGACTTTGACCACAGCTCATTTTTCTAGCCTCATCCTAGCTCCATTCCTCCTCTGTTTCTTCACATATTTGCTAACCCACCTGTTCCTTTATACATAATGTTCTTGGAATGGCTTTTCTTTCTTTCTTTCTTCTTTTCTTTCTTCTTTTCTTTCTTTCTTTCTTTCTTTCTTTCTTTCTTTCTTTCTTTCTTTCTTTCTTTCTTTCTTTCTTTCTCTCTCTC